ATAAGTTAAGGTTTGAGTATTGATCAAGAAACAATAGAACAGCTGCAAATATAGGAGTGATCACTTTATCTAGCTTTCTTGACAAGACATTCTGGAAAGTTCCTCCACTCAGTAGCTTCTTACCGCTCAAAGCTTCATTCAGTACCCATTCATTGCATAAGTCTGGTCGTTGTTCCTCCATTTCTTGCAATAAACTTTTTAGATGCTTCACAAGTGCACCATAAAATGTTATAGTATCTATAATTGATTAAAATAATAGAACTGCAATCTTATACAGCACAGTGCAAAATTTCTGAGGGCTGTAAAATTTTGTAATTGTCCATGTATATAGTGCCAAATTGTTGTTGGTGAAAACTTTGTCAATTGGTGTCTTCAAAAAATATTTGCATTCTAATAGTATGAGGATTGTAGTGGAATGACAAAAATTTTACTGCTGCATACAAAAAGGATTTTACAAAAACTTCACCTAATAAAAAATTGGCACTAAAATATAACATTTGGCAGATTTAATTTCATACTGAATTGAATTAATTATTACAGATTTATTTTCATCAATCTTCAAAAGAAATCATAAAATTTACATTCCATGAAAATCTTTCACTGCATGCATAGTACCTAAGGGAAATGAAGGATTCGGTGGAATGTACTTCAGTAATATTTCGACTCTCATAGCTGCTGTTGTTTGTTTCCTAGAATCTCCAGTTTCAATCAATGAAGCTACTGCTGCTTGAATGCAGTTATACAATCGACTGCATTGAGAGTGTTCCTTTGTTGTGCTGGCAGGAATCTCAGCATCATCACTCTATTAAAGAGAAACCATATTTTATAATAACTACATTAAAGTGTATCTAACAATATGTAATACCATTTTTTGAAACTGATTTCACAAATTCACAGCAATTTTCATACAAACAATTACACACAAACAATTACACACTTTAATTTTTGAAAAAGAAATACTAAAAAATTTACCTCTTTGAAATTAGAATCTTGCATATCATTAGCAGAATGCTCTTCTAAATCCTCTGCATTACCAGAAATATCTTCCTCTTTATTGTCTGACTGAGTCCTTGCCAGTGATTGATTTTCTTTCATTACCTCTTCTTCTGATTGAATCATATCAGAGTCTTCCTTCATTATAACTGTAGTATGTTCTATTTCCATTTCCTCATCAATCAAAAATTGCCCATTATAAAACAGATGACTAATAGGAGAATTTTGAGCATCATCAAGCATAAGATCAGATTCAAGAGGAGGCCTGATGTCATCAATGTGAGCTGAAATGCAGGATCGTCCTTGAAACCCAACAAAAGAGCTATTTGTAGCATTAATTTGACGCGGAAGGTGTACAATAAAAAGAACATGGGTAATTCCTTCTCCTTTTTTATGCCTCATTTTATTCTCCTCTCTCTCATCAATAATACGGTGTTGAGCACATGCTAACAAATCACCATACAGGTGCCCAGAGTCACACTGAATAATTAATAGGGATTCCTCTTTATCAGAAAATGAAGGACTAAAAGTAATCATTACAATAAATTTATAAATATATTGATAACTAATACAAACCTAATTTTGTGACTAAAATTCATCTCAGTATAAAACTCTTGCAGTAAATGGCATCCTCCATTCTTAATATAAACACTCCTGTATAACTCATTTGCCTCATGTTTTGAAAGAAGGTGACTATGAGTTGTTACCTATGTAAATAGTACATGTGATTTGATGATAAATTAGTATATTTCACTGTATACTTGTATCAAAAGTCCAGACAAATCATGAGTTTTATGAAGATGATAATTAAGAAATTCAACAATAGAGCCATGATGCTGCTCAAAATAATAAATTTGACTTAAGTGTTTCTGCTCATCCTCCAGTGAAGTAGATTTCAATCGTATTAGAGCTTCTGGTGATGCCATTTGTAACAGCATCTTCTTACCACACTCTAATACAGCCCCCTGTATTTCTTCTGAGACTTCACTTTCAATGTATTGACCTTCCTGTTGTATTTCATGAGTAGCTTGAAAATAACTGAAGCTGGGGTATCACATTGATAGCCTATAAAAGCATCTTGTTTTGTAAACCTATAAAGTATAACAGTAGATGGTTATTAAGTGTATATACTTGCTATCTGATGTACAGATTTCACCAAATTTGTCTATCCATTTAATAAGATTCTTAAGAACTTCCTTTTGCCATCCCAAAAGAACTGTCTCTGACAATAAAAAGTGTTTCTCAAGTCGGTTGATAAGTGGGGTAGGAAGCTTTGTATAGACGGTAGCTTTCTCTGCTATCAAAATCAGCCTGCAATATACATATCAATCATAAAGTGTTACAGATGAACTTACTTAAACTTATGGTGTACACGGCATTTAACTCTGTGAGTTTGTAGCCCAAGGTCAACATACCTCTGGCCTCCATGATGAATATAATACTGGTTTAACAAGTCATACAAGCTCTCATATAGATTTTCAAGATTAAGAAGAATGACAGTACGACCTGTTTCCATACAAATCTTAATCTGATTGATATTACGACACACTTGAGTATACTCTCTATCTTTAGGAAAAGAGCTACCAAAAAGAACAAATGGTTCCATCTTGTGTTCCATGCTTCTTGCCTTCAATGAATCATCAGGTGTAAGACTCAAGAAGGCTTCAGGGATGTAGCCTTCAGCCCTATCATCTTCAATTCCAACTTCCTTCAGCCCAACCTCTTCATGTAGATAATGCTTGATGACCTGAAGTGCAGCATAATTTTCAGTAAGAAACAGCAAGTAGCGGTTTTCTCTATAAAGTCTCTCAATAAAGAAG